TCTGGAAGCATTTGAGCTCCAGGTTCAAGTCTGGACTTGCCTGCTATTCTTTGGCTCCCCACACCCGAGAGGACAAGGACAGAGCATGGCAGGTGGCCTGGGCAGCAGGTGCCTCTGCACCAGCCCTGGCTGAGAAGGGCGCGAGTATGTTCCACGGTTGCTGTCACCATGTCAAAGTTCTTAATTTTGGAACGACCCTTGTCTTCTCATTCTGCACGAGGGCTCAAGTTCTGGGTGGCTTTTGTTTTGTTTGTGAGGGGTTCTCATTAGTTTAATCCCCCAGCTTCCTGACCTGAACTCCTGGTCCCCTTTGCCTCCCCTCCCTGAGTGGTGGGACTTCAGGCCTTAGTGTATCATCCTACACAAATCAGGAAAGCTGGGTGTTGACGAGCGGTGGTGGCGCACACCTTTAACCCCAGCACTCGGGAGGCAGAGGCAGGCGGATCTCTGTGGGTTTGAGGCCAGCCTGGTCTGCACAGTGAGCTCCAGGACAGATCAGGCTATCCAGAGAAACCCTGTTTCTAAAACAACAACAAAAATGTGTGTATAATATGAAAATAGAAGTGAGGTCTAGAAAGGCTTCAGGTCAGATGAGGGAAGCCAGGTCCGAGCCAAGAGCCGCACCTACCTTTGCCAAGGCCTCCTTTTGAGCATCTCCCCAGGTTTCTGACCACAGTTGTGGCAGGTGTGGATTAGCACGTGGGCTCACGGAGGAAGCCTGGCATGGGCATGCATGCACTTAGCCGTGGGCCGCTGATGAGCAGCAGAGCGCTTGCAACTGTCAGAGAGCTAATGTCTGCCTCAGTTTCCATTCCAGGCTGCTGTGCCCCTCACACTATGTCCCTGGTTGGTCCCTGGCTCTTCCCATCTCCCCCAGCGACTCCCCTCAATGCAGTTGGCTCTGCCTTGCATCTCTCTATCTGAGTAACGTCTCTCATGAGACTCTGCTGGCTGCCAGCTCATGAAGGCTGTCACCTGTCTGTGACTGGACCAGCGCTTAGGATTTCATGGTGGGGTCAAGAGCAAGGCCACCCACACTAATGTGAAGCCATCCCCCACCACTCTCGTGTGTGCGTGTGTGCATCTGTCGTAATATGGAAGCTCAACGGGGCAGTGGTTTCTCCCAAGCTTGTTCTCTTCCTTGTACATTTGTATATGTATTTGGAGGGATGGGGGTGCTGCTGTGAGCTTGTGGTGGTCAGAGGGCGACTTGCAGAAATTGCTTCTCTCCTTTTTCCGTGTGGGTCTCAGGGATGCCCCTCAGCTTTCGCTGATGGGCCATGTGACTGGCCCTTGTTCTCGAACACCTTTCAAAAGGTCGTGGTAGCTCATGGTGGAGGCTGAGGCAAGACGATCACCCTCAAGTTTAAGGCCAGCCCGAGGAGACTGGGATAGACTGAGATCTTGTAAGCCCCTCCCCAACAAAACCCACACACCGAAAGGAACAATAGCATTTTTCCAGGCTCAGGGTGTGTGGCTGAATGGTTAGAGGACTGTTTAGCTTTTCTGGGGCCCTGGGTTTCCTTCCCAGTACGGCAAATCAAACAGACAGGGCACTAAAAAGACTTCCAGGGAGACAGAATGCAGGGCCTGGAACCCAGGGTCGTTAGACAGAGGCAGGCAGCTCTTGAGAGTTTCAGGGCAGGGCCGGGGCTCTCTCTGGTCTGAATCCTTCTGGGGAATCAGCAACCCCATGCTGAAGTGCATGTGGACCTGGGCCTGAGGGATTGCTGGGGGTGGAGAGACAGGTTTGTTGTGTCTGGCTATGCTCAAGGCCTAGCCTGTCACACATGACTGAACTTAGCAGTGATAGGAACAGAAAATTTAGCAGAGCCTGGGGCCGAGGAGGTGGCTCCAACTTGTGAAGTGCTTGCACGCAGGTGTGGGGACCAGCTTTTAGATCCCTAGAGTGTAGGTAAAAGCTGGCAGGGTATGGTGACCTGCTTGTAATTCCAGCCTCCAGGAGACAGAGATGGGAATTCCCAGAGTAAGCTGGCCAGCCAGACTAACATGGAGAGACCCTGGCTCATTACATCAGGCAGAAGGAGATGGAGGAAGAGACCAGTGTCAACCCTGGGCTCTCCCAGGCCTGAGTGCACACGCACCAGCACACACCTGCACACACGTGCTCCCACACACAAATGCACACACACACACACTACGTAAACATGCACCAAGAAAAAAAATAATAAAAATTCTGTCCCTGCCCATCCTCTTGTAGTGGCTCCAGTTCTGGTGACCTCCCAGCAGAGAGACTGAGGCGGCATGATTGGGGTGCACAGTTGAGGGGCAGTAGGACCACTCACCAACATCCCGCCATCCATTTCTGGAGCTCTTCCTTGTTGCTAACCAAAACTTGTTGCCCCGTTAATCAGCATCCTTACTTCCTGCCCCTGGCAGCCCCGGCTCCACTTTCTGTCTCAGGATTCAGGTGCTCTGGGCACCACGTGTAAGTGCTGTCCTGACATAATTCCCCGTTTGTGATGGCTTCTTTCAGTTAGCATACTGTCCCTGGGCTCCCCTGTGTTGTAATGTGAATCAGAATTTTCTTTCCTTTCAAGACTTTTTTGTTGTACATAGGAACTGTGTTTTCTATACCCATTCAGCCACTATGGAAACTTGGCAGCTTTCTCCCTTTGGCACGAGCCGCAGACAGAAAGGCAGTCTTGCTGTTTCTGAGAGAAGCCTTAGGTAGCTCAGGCTAGCCTTGAACTTGCTGTGTAGCTGAGGATGACTTTGAAGCTTTCCTCTTTCTGCTTCCCTCTCCCAAGGGCTAGGGTCACAGGCAGGTGCCTGACTAGGAATGCACTTCTAACAGGAGTGGGGCTCCCGGCCAGCAGTGGGATGAGGAGGTTTGCAGAAAAGGGTGGGGGCAGCGGGTGTGAGCCTTGGTGCTGTGTCTCCAGGCCTCACTGGAAGTCCGGTGACGCAGTTGGGCTCATGAACAGTAGAGCGCCCTCCGTGGCCACGTGTGAGCAGGTGTTACCTTGTTCCCTGTCTCCACCTAGAGCTCTCCTAGGTGATGGCCCTTGGGTCTGATGACAGTCTGAGGGACCCTGAAGCCTGGCATGAGTTCTCCAGTAGCCACTGTGTCCCTAGGAGCTTGGGAACTCTGGGGTAACCCAGCTGGGCTGGCGGGTCCTTTCCTATCTGAGTGTCCACACCAGTCCTGGCAGTGTCTGCTGCAGGCTTTTGCTGTGCATGTGCCTTGGGCTGACAAGTTGCTGTGCAGCTCTTGCAGTCCGCCTAGCCCAGGTATGCTAGATCTGAGGTACCAGGATGGGGAGGACCTTGCCTGGCTTCCCATGCCACTGAGGTAGCCAAGACTTAGTCTGTATATGGGATTCCCATGTTCAAGCTAGACACCCACCACAACCCCAGCAGGTAAAGTGTGTCAGACTGAGCACGTGGTAGGAGGGACACACCACTCCCCAGGGATACAGGGTCTTCAGGCCTGGCGGTAGCAGCAGGCTCTTTGGCTGGATCTCTGGAGGTAAAGTCTCTGAGGCCAGGAAGGAAAGAGGCCTTTTAGAAGAGGTTTGGCCAGGCTTGCTTTGGTTCAGTGGCTGCCACATGGAAGCCAGTCTTCCAGGATAAGAGAGTGAAGAGTCAGGTAGAATGAGAGTAGGGGCATTGCAGCCTTGCCTGCTGTGGTTCCTGCTGGGTGTGGAACGGAAGGAAGTGGTGTGTTGGAGGGAGAGGACACAGACGCCCAGAGACGGCAGGCATTTGCCTAAGGTCACATGGTAGCCAGTGGAGGGGCCAGGAGTCATCCCCAGGTCAGCTGACCCCATAGCCATTGGACTCTGGAGCCTCCTATTGGTTCCCACAGTTGCAGAAGAGTAACTCACAAGTCAGTGGGGACACATGTGGCAGGAGGAAGGTCTACTGAGCTGTAGTCTCATCCTGGTCTGTATTCAAGTGCTGTGTAGTTCAGGAGAGCCCCTAGCCTCTAAGAGGCCATAGCCACCACCCTAAGATCATAGAACTGTGTGGCTTCGTGTGTTTATCTTGCTGATGTCTGGGAAGACCCATTTTTGCCAGTGTTTGTCCATATTAGAGACTCAAAATCACAAGTCCCGGTGAAGAGACAAATAGGGTTTTTCCAGATCCCAGCTGGCATCTAGTACTAGTTTAAGAATCTTGTCTCTCATGAAGGGATAGTCTGGTTTGGGATGGTACTGTACGAACAGTCTGGGTCTTTAAAAATATCATATATACATATTTTCAATTTTTTATTTATGTATTTTATGTATATGGGTGTTTTGTCTGCATGTACATCTGCATGCCAGAAGAGGGCATTGGATCTCGGGGACTACAGCTCTTGCAGACGATTGTGAGCCACCACGTAGGTGCTGGGAATTGAACTCTCGGGATCTCTGGAAGAGCCACCAGGGCTTTTTTGTTTTGGCTTGGTTTTGGTTTTTTGAGACAGGGTTTCTCCGAAACAGTCGTGGCTGTCTTGGAATTTGCTTTTTAGACCAGGCTGTACTTGAACTCACAGTCTCTGCCTCCCAGGTGCCGGGATTACAGGTGTGCACCACCACTCCCCGGCTGCAGCCAATGCTCTTAAACACTGAACCATCTCTCCCGTCCCCCCAAAATATTTTGCTTTTAACGCGCGCGCGTGTGTGTGTACATGGGTCCAAGTGCCCACAGAGACCAGAAAGGGGCAGCAGATCTCCTGGAGTTGGAGTTACAGGTGTTTGTGAGCTGCTGACTTGGCAGCTCTGTTAGGGTAGTATATGAGCAACGAGCCCCCTCTGCAGTCCAGTGTTGAGGTATTAAAGCCGCCTGGGACTGGACTCACATTACCTGATACTGGATGTCCCGTTTATTGTCTGCTCTGCCCCACACCAGCCCCATGAGCAAAGGGGGTGGGTCTGCTGAGCACCTTCTGTCCCCAGGGTCCAGGACAGTCCCTGTCCCACCATGAGAATGCAGAAAAGCCTTACCCAGTACTGAGAACATAACCCGGCCTTCTTTCCTCCACCCCCCAGGTCTAGCTGGGAGCTCCCTGATCTCCAGGAGGGCAAAATTGAAGCCATCAGTGACTCGGATGGAGTGAACTACCCGTGGTATGGCAATACCACCGAGACCTGCACAATCGTGGGCCCCACCAAGAGAGACTCCAAGTTCATCATCAGCATGAACGATAACTTTTACCCCAGCGTCACGTGGGCCGTGCCCGTCAGCGAGAGCAACGTGGCCAAACTGACCAACATCTACCGGGACCAGAGCTTCACCACGTGGCTGGTGGCCACCAACACCTCGACCAATGACATGATCATCCTCCAGACGCTCCACTGGCGTATGCAGCTGAGCATCGAGGTGAATCCCAACCGGCCCCTGGGCCAGCGCGCCCGGCTGCGGGAGCCCATCGCCCAGGACCAGCCGAAAATCCTGAGCAAGAATGAGCCCATCCCGCCCAGCGCCCTGGTCAAGCCCAATGCCAACGACGCTCAGGTCCTCATGTGGCGGCCCAAGTACGGGCAGCCGCTGGTGGTGATCCCACCCAAGCACCGGTAACAGCCAGGCCGCTGCGAGGTGAGACTCACGGAACAATATTACTACTCAGAAGGAAACCCAGATGCCCTCTCTGGTCATTCAGAAAAATACAACCATTCTACCTTCTCCAGGGGCGGATCTCACTGTGCTAATCCCCGCTGGCCTCCTGGCTCTCCCACCTGCTTCCCTGCAGGACACACAGGTGTCCCCCCCCCCATCACCTCTGATCTTCTCTCCTCCCCTCCCAATCAGTTCATTGCAGCCGACTTTCTGAAACACTGCTTTTTGTTCTTTCTGTCTCTCTCTCTCTCTCTCTCTCTCTCTCTCTCTCTCTCTCTCTCTCTCTCTCTCTCTCTCTCTCTCTATGGGATTCAGGGGCAGGGGAGGAGGCTGACGGTGAGGCGACCCAGCCTGCCCCTCCCGCCTCCCCTCTGTCTGTCTTCTGCCATGCGGCCTTATGTAGACTTGCTTTGCCAAACTTTTGCCTTAAGCTGAATTTAAAGAAGAGGAAAGGAAAGGTCCCGGGTCTCTTCCCTTCAGGGCCTGCCTTCTTCTGCCAGAGTTGGAAAGAGAGGCAGGCCTAGAGGAAGGCGCACCTGAGCCCACTCTTCCTGGGCGTCTGGGTGAGGGACAAGAGTGGGGGTTCAGGTCTAAAGCCAGCTGTTTTATTACAGACTCTGCCTGGAGCCCCTACTCTGCCCCAGTAGAACCTCTCCCTAGTATCTGCCAGGGGTGCCAGCTGGGCACAGATCCTTGACCCCTGCTCTCTCCTCAGTAGCCTTAACTCGCCTGGTGGGATATTCTGGGAGAAGGAAGGGACAGGTCCCAAAGTGTTAGGTCAGGGTTAGGAAACTTTCACCTTTGCTAACTCTAGAACCCGCCCCTTCCATTTACCTTGGTCCCAAATGCCTGGCAGGGTGGGCTGGGGTGGGGGCATTGTCCCCGAATCCTGATAAGTCTGAGCTGTTCTAAGGGAAAGAAGGTGTATCCTTCCCTCCTGACCTGCATTGCCACACTTGAATCCAGGGTCCCGGTGTCCCAGGCTGCCCATCCTCACCTCAGGCTGCCCATTCGCTAGCACACTGTAAAGAAGCCAATGACGCGGCTTCTGGCTCATTCTCAGGGGAAGCAGCTCCCAGACTCTCTGGGGGTGGGCTGTAGATAAGCTCTAAGCACCAGCTGGAGGGTGCTTGGGCCCCCTCCTCTCCCCATCATAGGTGCTCCTGGGGTGGGGAGGTCTGGGGAGCAGTCGGCTGACTCCCTGTTTCTTGTCTGAAGAAGGAAGCCCCGGCCCAGGGCTGGAGAGTCCCACGCTTGGGCAATGTCAGGTCACTGTGAAACTGGTTTGACACATCGGCCCGTCCTGGGGTCTTCCTTCTGGAGTCCTAGAACTTGGCCTTGAGTGATGCCAAGGTGTCTAGAAATGTCTGCTTTGAGCCGCTTGAGGGACATTCCTTTAAGCGTGCCAACAGCTGCATCACTGGATTCCAGCCAGTAATAAGCACAGAAAACCGTCACACATGGAAAACAATGGTTCTGCTGCTGCTGAGCCACTGGTGAGGGGTCCTGGTGACAGCGTGGGAGGGCACGGCTAGACCCAGCTCTGTTCCTACACATGTGACGTATTTCCTCTAGGGGTGCTTAATGTCCCGTCATTCTCAGGCCACTAGAGCTGGGGGCTGCACTCACCTGGAGTCCAGTGAGCACCTCCCCTGGGACCTTCCCTTTGCATGTGTGGAGGCTGTCGCCTTAGCCGGTAGAGCATGGGGTCCCCACCCTGCTCTAGGATAGGACTGGCCGTTGGCTAGAAAGGCTCCTTCTGCTTTCAGGACTGAAGAAAGAAGATGGGCCCTGGTGAGGGTGGAGGCGAGCCCTTGTCCTGAGCTGGGGGGTTACTAAGGGTGTCTTCCTGGACATGGGGACTCCCAAAACCACGTTTCTTGAGATCCCTCCCCCTGCATGCCTGGCTTTGCCCAGCTGGCTTCTCTGACTCTCCTTCCTCTCTACCCTCCTGCCTGACCCAAGACAGGGCTGAGGAGACTCCAGAGAGGCTCTGTGGGTCTGGCCGAGAACACCCAGCTTCTCTTGGGCTGGTTTCCTCATGTTGTTGACAGACCCCAGGCTTTCTGGGGTCCTGAGCCCTCTACCGCTGTCCCTCACACCCATGCCTCCCCAGGCGTGGACACTCACTTTTTCCAGCAATAAGCACCAACTGTCCTTGGTCATGGAGATATACTGTGAACACAGCCCATGCGTGCACTTACCAGCAGGCGCGAGACTCTTGAAGACAATGTCAAATGAACCTTTTTTTAAAGTTTAAAATAAAAGATATAAAGAGAAATAAAATTAATTTTAAAGCACCCCCGGCTCTGGTGGTGATTACGTGGGGGTCTCAGGCTCACTGTGGCCAGCCAGGGCGAGCATGTTTGGGAAGGTTCTGTGTGGCTGTGGTTCCCGTGCTGAGAGACACGAGCTCTGGCCTGTCACTCTGTACACCTGCTCTGTCTCATGGCCCAGTCTCCATTGGAACTGGCTCTTAGACTGCAGAACTATTTCTGACAGGTGTCCCAGGGCAGGAGTAGACTTGGGGATTGCTCTGGGTTTTTTTGTTCCTGTTTCTCTCTTTCTCTTTGTGTGTGCACATGTTTCTGTTTGGAGACCAGAGGTTAATGTTTTCTAGGACTCTCTACCTTATTTTTTGAGACAGAGACAGTCTCTTTGTGAACCTGAAACTCAAGTTCCAGGTTAGATTGGTTGCCCAGAAACCTCAAGTGACCCCAATGTCGGGGTCACAGGCTTTACCATTATGTCTGGCTTTTACCCGGGTTCTGGGGATCAACCTCTGGTCCCTCTGCTTGTGCAGCTGACCGAGCCCTCTCCCTAGCCACAGGATTTCTTTTCTTTTCTTTTCTCTTCCTTCCTTCCTTCCTTCCTTCCCTTTCTTTTCTTTTCTTTTCTTTTCTTTCCTTCTTTCTTTTTTTTTTGAGACAGGTTTTCACAGTTTAGCTCTGGCTGTCCTGGAACTCACTTTGTAGACCAGGTTGGCCTTGAATTTACGGAGAACAGGCCGCCTGTCTCTGCCTCCCGAGTGCTGGGATTAAAGGTGTGTGCCACCATACCTAGTCTTTAAACTTAGATTTTTTTCTTTTGGGTTAAATAGAACTGCATATCAAAGGTGGCAGGCGTTTAGATCAAGTCCTTATTTGAGTCACCCGTGAGTCATTCGCAAATCTCACACACACAAGGTCAGGCACACAGCTGCGCACCTGTCCCTCACTGGCTGACAAGAGTCAAGTGGGTCAGGTATACCAGGAGGACGCTGTTTCCTCACTGGAGCATCTGTATGGAAGGTTGGGGACCCAAGGTTGCTGGAGTGACTCTGTGTCCTGATGGTGACTCCAGCCATTTGCGTGGACTTGGCTGAAACCCAGACCTTGTGGAAAGGGGTTCCTGAGCACTGCCTGCTGGCTAGTGTGGATGAATGAGTTGGGCTTTGATGAACTCACCATGATGGTCCCTGGGGCCTCCCCATCTTATGGACAAGGAAGCAGGGAGTGTGGGTGTGTGCGCGCACGCGTGCAAGAACTGGCAGACCTCATATCTTAGAAGGGGTAGCCAAGATTCACTGACCACTGCAGATGACTATGGGCATACATTTGGTGCCAAATAATTGTTGGTTATTAAGAAAGCCCTTAGCTTGCAGCACACACCCAGGGTCCTCAGGCAAAAAACACCATTCTCCCTATAACGCTTCCTAGAAGTTTGAGCATTTAGTTATGTGCAGTCCACAGAAAAGCAGGCTTTGAATAGGGGCTTTCTTCACCTGCGGACTGGCTCCCCAGAGTGGGCATGGCTTCTCTGTAGTGCTTTGAGGGGCAGGAAAGACCCTTCACCCACCAGGGTTTCAGGCGTGGCTGCTCTGGGTTCTTTACATTGCTGCTCCAATGCAGGAAGTTGCATCATGGGTTCCTCTGGCGATCTCTACCCGGATGGCTCATGGGTGGTGTTTATGTCAGAGTTTTGTTTGTGATTGTGGAATCAGCTCCTAAGTATTGCGCACAAAGATCCATGGGTTTTGTGGCTCTGTGTGTGTGTGTGTGTGTGTGTGTGCGCGCGTGCGCGCGCCTGCGCACATATGTGTGTCCATCAAAAGAGAAGCTCAATAAGACCACACAGGCCCGAACCAAGGACCTTAGGAAACCATCTTTGCTGCAAAATGCAGCTGCATGACTCGGGTATGGCTGCCTGAGTTTGGGGACCGGAATGTGCAGGAGTCAAGTGGCTCACAAGTGACATCTGATGGCTCAGTGACAGCCCTCTCCCTGCTTCAGCTGGTGGCAAATTAAATTCAGAAGTCCAGGCGAGGCTGAGAGATGGAGATGCCAGACCCAGACAAGCAGGGGCAGGGTTCCCTCCAGGACCCCAGGCCTGGGGCCAAGTGTCTGGAAGGAGCAAGCCCACCGCCGAGAACTTCCAGGAAGCAGGTGCTCATGGCCCCTTGCCTGCCCACCGCTGTGACAGCTGCTCCTCCGTGCAGCCTCTGCTCTGGCTGCTCTCCCAGAAGAGCCAGAAACTCATTGTAGAATCAGCCATGAGGCCACAAAGGAAACGCAGTAGGGTCCCAGTGGGGTGACTTATTGGGGGCTGCAGTGGAACTCCCAGGCCTGCAGAGGAAATTTCTAGAAGTTGCAGTGCTTGTTTCCTGTGGCTTTACGTCATCCTCAGTGCCCCCTGGGTCCTCCACGGACACTGGCTCCCACCTGGTTGGGGTCCAGGCACCCAAGGTGGCAGCTGGTCACAGCACATACACTACCCCTAAATTCTCCATTAAGGAGCTATAGAGAGACGGTTGCTGATGTGCTTGCCATGCAAGAATGAGGATACGTGCGTGTGTGCCCGTGCACACACACAGACACAGGGCTTTGCCAAGTCATAACACAAGTAGCCACAGGAAAACCCCCACATCCTACAGCCTTGCACGGTCCTCGCACCCTTTCCTGCCTGTGGATCACAGGAGCTCTTGTTCCACGTTCTCAGGGGAAGAAAGTGGCCGTGAGAAGGTCTCTGACCTCCCTCTGCCTCCCTGCTGCAGCCCTGGCCTCTCGCCTGCCCCTTTCCTCAGTGTGCCGTGCAAGGCTGGACACGCCGTTTACATGCTCACCGGTCCTCTCGGCACTGGGAACTTCTGTCCCTTGAGATGGGGTCTCTCCCTGAACTCCTGATTGGCCTGCAATTCAGTATACATCACAGACTAGCCTTGAACTTACAGCAATCCTCCTGCCTCAGTCCTGAGTGCCGAGGCGGTATGTGTGTGCCACTGTACCCAGAAAGAGCAGGTGTGTGCGTGAACTCGGCTTCTGGGCTGTGTCCAGCGACACAAACTTCTGATCACGCTGGGCCCTGCCAAAAGTCAACCCATTTACTGTCTGGGCACAGCCCTGTCCACTTGGTCCCCAGACATGCCGGCTGGGAATGCAGAGACAGGATTATCTCCACTCCGGTTCTGGCTTTGGTTTGTAGTTTATCAGCTGACACTTTAAACTAGACTGGTGAAAGGTGGCTCTCTGGGGAGAGTAGCTAGACACTCAGGACTATTCCTGGCCTGCCCCCTGTCTTGCTGAGTGAGGTTTGGTGAGGCAGCCACACTTGTCTGGTCTTCTCAAGCAGGAGGTAAGCACACCTGGCCAGCTTTCTCCACTGGGCCAGGTGTCATTGACAAGGCTCTTGCTTGGACTATCTGTCCTAAAAGCTAAAGTTATCCAGAGACCAGAGATGCTGTGTTCATCTGGGATGAAGCTATTTCTGTGCACAGGCAGGATGCTAAGGGGAGGGAGCATCTGCTGGGTGCCATGGTGACCTGGACTTCACTGTACCTTTGAGGTCTTTTATGATACCTTTGGGGGCACGTGTTTACAGCTGTAAACCCGGGGTCCCTGACTCTTTTGATCGGATCTGGCTCATCACAGAGATGCGGTAGGGAAATGGAGATCCTGCAGTCCATGGCAGGGTGCTTCCTGAGTGGACGGACACTGGCCCTAATCTGGCTGTTAGAGTTGAAAAAGGGTTCCATTGGGGGAGACCAGATGTCTGCCACTGGGGAATTCTGTGTTGGGCAGAGGTTGTCAGACTGGTGACAGCGTGCCTAAGCCTTGGGCCGATTCTCACTGCAATCTACCAGACCAAGTGGTTAACCAGGGCTTTGGTGTAGGCTGAGGGATTTCCTGTAAACAGCCTGCCACTTCCTGTGAAGGTGAGGCCCAGCAGTTGTCTGGCTCCTGTAAGTGACTCTGCCAAGCCCCTCTGCAGTCTTGCCTGACACCTGAGAGCCACACAGCATGCCAGCCTTCCTCATGAGACCCTGGTCCCACTGGAGCTGTGGCTGTGAGAGGCTGATGGCCTCATGGCCCGAGAACCCAGAAATGCTAATTCTGCCTTTGAGACGCCTTACCATTCATGCAGGGAACACATTCCCAAAGAGAAGGCTTATCCCCTGTAAGGTCCAGGCTCAAGGGTCCAGAGAACACATTGGGGGACCACCTCACCCTGCCGTGCTGAACCCCAGGCACACAGAGCTGCATGAAGAAACACAGATGGACAGACCCACTGGTCCTCCTGGAATGGCAGACATGGCCTAATCATCTGGATTCTTACTAATCTTATTAGAGTTGCTTGGAGTAGCAGGGAGGCTATGTTGGTCTTTTTTAAAAACAGCTTCTCAGAGGCCGGAGAGAAGGCCCAGTGGTTGAGTGCTGTGACTCTTGTAGAGGATCAGTTTCGTACCCAGCTTCTGTAACTCCAAGGGCTTCAACGCCATCTTCTGGCCTCTGTGGGCACTACACTCTTGTACACACACACACACACACACACACACACACGCACACACATGCACACACTCCTTTTAGCCATCAGCCCTTCCTCCTGCCCTTCTCTGCCTCTACCATCCCCCAGCACCCAAAACCCTGCCTTGTTACTACAGTGTGATTGTCTTTTCTAGGTTTTTATATGGATGAACCCAATGGCATGCACTGTTTTGGGCTGACTTCTCTCCTTTGAGTCATTACATGACGCTGCCCCTGTTGACAAGCCTGTATACATCATCCCTCACTGCCAGACTATGCCACAATCACTGTGTTTGCTCACATAATTTTTTTAATATTTATTTATTTATTATGTATACAATATTTTGTCTGTGTGTATGCCTGCAGGCCAGAAGAGGGCACCAGACCTCATTACAGATGGTTGTGAGCCACCATGTGGTTGCTGGGAATTGAACTCAGGACCTTTGGAAGAGCAGGCAGTGCTCCCAACCTCTGAGCCATCTCTCCAGCCCTCACAT